GGCCAAGCACTCCATTAAAATCCCAACAAAAGTACTATACGTCTCTATAAAACTGTATTTAAAATTGTAATGAAAATTAATGTAGAAGAAGAAAACATTTAAAACAAAAGTACCACTTTTGGTGGTTCTCTCTCTTTGGAATATCATGCCTTCAGAAATTATACTGGCCCACTCTTTCGTAAGTACCTGAAGGCTTGATTTTGTTATAGGCCTGGGGAACCCAGAGTGGAATGGAGCCCATCAAATGGCTCATTTGACTGTGTCTTGTCGCTGAACAGGTGTGTGTGTGGAGGGGGGGGGAATCGTTTTTTTTCTATACTGTTTTTATTGCTTGTGAATCACTTATTGTTGCTGTGAGATTAGGCAGCTATATAAATGTTCTAAATGAATAAAAATATGTATCTTTGGCAATGACAGAAGCAGGTAAAAAGAAAAAAAGCTATTGTTTACAATTGAAAATTAAAAGTTGAATGCAAAAATGAACTAAAATGTGTGGATGCTAGTTCCGACTGTAATCAAAACAACACTGGGCTTCCATTTCTTAAACTGCTTTTCCAGTAGAAACATGAAGTCAAGATTTTCTAAAGTAGATTAATTAGGCATAGGGGCTAATTTTCAAAAACTGTTTTTATTTCAAATGAATAATTTTAACTATGCACAGAAATATTCTGATTTAAGGGTAGCAAGTATAACTAAATCACCCTTGATCTACAAAGATTCACCTTCGCTAAGTCAGTACACTTTCCTGAGCACAACACAGATCGCCTATGATGTTCATATACATTTTCCCCAGTGATAACATACTTAAAACATCTGGTCTGCTTCCATGTTCAATTCAAGGTGTTGGTTATGGTCTTTAAAGCCCTACATGGCATGATTACCTGTGAAGCTCTTCTTACCCCATTACACCAGTCCCACCCAGTCAGGCAGGGAGGGCATGCTGGGGACCCATCAGTTAAAGAATTGTGTCTGGAGGAGCATTCTCTGCCACTGCCCCTGGGAAAATTCTCCCCCCCCCCCCGAGGCAAAGCAGGCCCCCACTCTCGTGGCCTCTCGGAAATGTCCAATGACTGGCTCTGATAACTTGCTTGGGGAGAGATGGGGGTGAATATGGCCATGGGGCTGGTATGTGCCTCGAAAGCTCTCCCATGCTTTGTAATTCTGAATTTAAAATATTTTACTCTTGTTTTAATCCGGTTTATGTTATAATATTTATACCGTTTTTCTGTTTTTAAATCTTCTTTGTACAATGCCCAGAGTTGCTCTGTGAAGGAAATGGGTGGTTTCCAAATGTGATGATTAAATAGATGTAATATAAACCAAATGTAGATTTATTGTCCGGCCATAGTGTATTACTCAGAGCTCTGAGTAGTTTACCCCGTTTAGTTTAAACTGAACTCTTACCATCTTCATCCTCCTCTTCCTCCCCTCTTTCTTCTTCATCCTCATCCTCTTCTTCACTACTACCAGCATCCTCATCGGCTTCTGAGTCACTGTCACCTTCATCCAGGATTTCTACATTACAAAAAAAAAAACACAAATTCAAATTAATATATTGGATTGAGTCAGCAGCATTTAGGCCAGAGAAGTGCCTTAGAAATAAACAACCGTGCCCAATCAAGAACTTGAACTCCCATTACCTTTTTTCAAAGTTTTGTACTTCTCTTCGTTTTCCACAAATTCAGGGTCCATTTTGAAGACATCTTCCCAAAAGGAGAAAGAAAGAAAAAAAAACACCACTGAAATTATTGTGCTCTTTCAAATTTCTAAATCACAACAAGCGCACGTCTGATCTCAAAATCGTACTTACTGAGAATGTCATCGGGATTGTATTCGTCTTCCAAAGGCAACATGTGGGTGAACTGATCCTCCTCCTCCACAAGGTCAAGTCCTTCTTGAATGACTGGGTGATCTTTGAATCCATCTTTGCGCACCGCAAACATGACTTCAATCATGTATTGGACGCGCTTGTCAGTCTCAGATTCATGAAGGACGTGGCGAAGGCGGTCAAAGATGGCTGTGGGGTAAAATCGGTTAGATGGGGACTGCTAATTCAGGAATGAAGGAGGAACGCCCCAGGGTTGCCTTGATTTGATTTGATTTGTTTATTATTTATAGGCCGCCCTTTTCCCTGCCTACTTACCGTTAATACCTCTAGGCGACACTTCCGTTAACTTCAGGCCACAGTCCTTCAGAAACCCAATGGCGACTTCAATACTGTCATCTGTGGGTCTTTCCAGGAGCAACGTAAGCATTTCCAAGCACAAAACCTCGTGAGCCTGATAGGAAAACAACACAAGTTTTAGTAAAATCTGGATACTTAAAATAGCTGATAAAATATAACACTACTACAAGAACTGCTCAGGGTAACACAGGCTGACTTATAAGACATCTCATCCTATGAACAGCAAAGCAGTTGGAAGTATTCAAAGTCAGGTCCAACTGGATACGTCTTTAGCAATTCTCTAGATCAGGAAATGGCAATTAGCAAGGAGTATTGCTTGAAGCAAAACATGGACAATAGTCAGCTAGAAAAACTCACTCCAATTCAACCGGCCTTTTACTATGCATTTTGTCTTTGCACAACTATTTGCAGACAGATGGGAAATATAATGGAGAATGGTGGCAGAACCTTTCTGGGGTCCCAAACGTGCTTTTTTCTCAGGAGGCAGCTGGACTTTCTTTCTTTCTTTTTCCTTTGAACACGTTTCACTTCTCTTTCACTTTCACCAAGAAGCTTTGAAACATCTTCAAAGAAAAAACAAGAAAGTCCAGTTGTCTCCTGAAAAAAGCATTTTTGGGACACTAAGATCTGGAGAATCTCCATAGTCCAGGGGTATCAAACGGAAGGCCTGCAGGCCAGATTTGGCCCGCAATGTGATCGGATCCGGCCCACAGAGCCATCCTGGTCTACCCAATAAGAAGAGGAAAGATCAGGCCAGCATGGCTTCAGCCCGGTCTACCCAATGCAAAAAGGAAACATGCCAGTAGTTTGGGGAGTGGTGTCAAGTTGGCCGAGCCCACTCAGTTGGCCACACCCGCCCAGTCGGCCACGCACAACCCCCTCCCCCCGTCAACCACAGCCCTGATGAGGCCTTCAATGAAATTGTGTTTGACACCCCTGCCTTAGACTTTTAGCTATGCCCCCTTTGAATGGTGCAGAGGTATGAATGGATTTTCCAAAGAAATTGCAGACTACAGGAACTGCTATTGCATTTCAGTTTGAGATGCAGACAACACAGACTCTTCCCCAACAGCCTGCACCTCTCTTCAACAGTGAAGGGACAGA